CAATAGAAGATAAGAACAATAATTGAAGAAGCTTTATTAAAGAAGTGAAGTAGCTTTAGCTTGAATTTATTAACATGTTCCCTCTCCTATTTATACAGATTAGGAGGAAGGATTTCCCTCAACAGAATAAACAGAATAGAGAGATTTCCTCATATAATTGGGGAAATCTTATCCTCTATCAAGTTGGGGAAATCTTATCTTCTATCATAACATGTTAATAGATTCAAGCTAAAGCTATTTCATTTCTACAATAAAGCTTCTTCAATTATTGTTCTTATCTTCTATTATTTCTATCATGGTATCAGAGCAGTGAGAAAAGCGAAGCTTCGCTCTTGCCTTTGGCCAGCGACCAACGCCGCTGAGAAAAGCGAAGCTTCGCCCTTGTCTTCGGCCAGCGACCAACGCCGCTGCAGCCACATTCCTGAGAGGCTTCACGGCAAATCCTCATCTTCTTCACCGCGGTAGTCTTCGCTGATCTGCCAATAGTCGGTGGACTTAAGGAGAACGAAGGGCAGATGTAAGAGAACGAAGGAAACGCCTGTGCCCTCACAGCAATCGCAATAGCAACAGCGATCTGCTCTTGCCCTACTCACGAAACCTCTTGCTTTAAACCATTCTTTGCATCGATCCAAGATTGGTATCCTTGTTAGGAGCACCATCTTGCGGGGGCATGATAGAAGATAAGATTTCCCCAACTTGATAGAGGATAAGATTTTCCCAATTATATGAGGAAATCTCTCTATTCTGTTGAGGGAAATCCTTCCTCCTAATCTGTATAAATAGGAGAGGGAACATGTTAATAGATTCAAGCTAAAGCTATTTCATTTCTACAATAAAGCTTTTTCAATTTAGTAAAAATTACTTTGAAAATAAATATAGATTCAAGCTAAAGCAAATGAAATAAAATACTGAAAATAAATATAAAATAAAAATATAGCAGTGGATGGTTTCACAGGTTGTACTCCCAAAGTGAACTACTAGTCTAATCACATCTATTACATGATACTCAACATATCAATATCATAAACATAACAGAACCAACATTAAATTCTTATAGAATCGGTCTGGAATCACCCTACCTATAAAAAGAGGGTATATCACAACCCGGGTTTGATGGGCTAACTGGCCTATCAACTTCGTTTGGTCCAAACCACTGGCCAAAATGCTTAAGCTGAAGTTGATAGTAGTATACTCATCAGACCCTTATAAGCCAATATTAATCTTGCCCACTTTCGATGTGGGACTAATCAGAGGTGTTACATGGCCAATGGACAGTTAGGATTGCAATGGTGTGGAACATAAGCAAGGAAGGAGGAAAGGAGAAAAACTACTTCCCCTCGTAAATTCTTGCTTTAATCCAGATGTGATTCAAGAAGGGACTAGGCGATTGAAGTGGACTGGTTTAGAGGGATCAGGTCACCAAGAAATCAATGTCGTCAAAACTCTATGTTTCAGCTGTAATGCAATCAAAATGTCAAAAACATGAGCTTTGGTCAAGGCAAGCCGAAGGCAAGGGTCGGCATACTGATTTCCGCTACTGGACTGTATATTGTACAATTTGATTCCTTTAATGGTTTGTCTTTTTTACTTTTAGTTCAGACCTGAACATACTGCTGCAGGAAAGTATAGTGCACATCTTAATTTCCTGATGGATGGGTTTTTTACAACAATTTTTCTTTTGAGATCTTGTCGCTGAGTTTGTGTAATGTTATATATTGTTTGCTGGTACATTTGTTTTCCACTCACTTGAACTAAAAAGTTGGTGACATAATCTTTTGTTATTTTCTCAGTCACTCTCTAGCAGCATTGAAGGGGGAGCAAAATGGTTGGTCAATAAGTTAAAAGGTGCAATTTCTGAGCTCCACAGATTCCCTACTGCATTCTATGCATTATTAGCATATAAAAGCTACCAAGCTGACTAAAACCTAACATTGTACAGGATAAGGCTTGGTAAGTTGGATCGATTCGTGTTGAGCTGTAATCTCCAATTTGTTTCCATGTAGTTCAGACAAGTTGGTCAAATTTTTGTAATGATACTTGCAAGCATCATCTAAGGTTACCCTTTGCATGGAAGAGTCTTTTTTTTACATCCCAGGACCTTGCAATGATCTTTTATCTAACCTTCTTAAAACAACAAAAGCAGGCTCATCTAGAGTGAGATTAAAAAAAAAAATCAAATTGCTGGAGTTTCTCGATAAAGACTCTTCCGTGACACTTTGCTGAATCTGCCAAAATAAAGCATAGAAAAATAGAAACATTTATTTTGGGGTTCTCGGTAATTTCTGTGGTCATGATAATGCCTGTGCGCTACCTGGACCTGTCGTAAACAACTCATGTTTCTTTTTGTCAACTTCCTCTAAGATCATATATACATGTTCTCATATGCAATGTGCAAGATATTTCTTTCTGATAACTCGATTTTCTTTTGTTCAGACATTTTCAATTTGTGCAATGCATACTGGTGGTTTTAATCTCTCATGAACTTGCTTGAGCAAACTCATAGAAGAACTGTATTGTTCCAGGAAAGATGCAGAAATCATTGCCTGAACTGCTGAGGGAATACGACATGCCAATAGGCCTCTTTCCACAAGACGCCACTCACTACGAATTTAACGAAGAGACGGGGAAGCTTACTGTTTTCATACCCTCCATATGCGAGGTGGGTTACAGGGATTCCTCGGTCTTGCGATTTTTAAACATCGTGACTGGGTATCTGGAGAAAGGAAAGCTAGTTGACATAGAAGGAATCAAGACCAAAGTGCTGATTTGGTCGAAAGTAACTCGCATCTCCACGGAAGGATCCAAAATCCATTTCACCACTGGAGTGAAGAAAACCCGGAGTCGCGATGCATATCAGGTGCTCAGAGCTGGTATCACTGTGGATAAATTTTAGGTTGCTTTGAGATGGTAAATTACTGTGTGTGGAAGCTACCAATGTCAGCTAAGATGTCATCATTTACATGATGTTATCCTGTTAATCTCTAAACCCTGCACTTCAAGATGCTTCTCTATTGTTTTCTTTTTCTTAGTATGTCAATGTGCTTGTAATTAAAGGCACCATTTCTTATCAGCTTTATGCAGCTTACAAACTGTTCCAATGTTGCAGTCTTGTGTTTCTTCAAGTTGGATTGTGATGATGAGTTTTGTTGTTTGGTTCCTGCTATCGATTTTTCGTTTCTTGCTTAAGAAAACAATTGTTCTATAAAATAACAACAACAATAAGAAAACAATTGTTCTATAAAATAACAACAACAATAAGAAAACAATTGTTCTATAAAATAACAACAACAAAAAATCAAAAAAATTCAATTATTTGTGATCGACAATTCGACATCACAGGCATAAAATCAACTGAGGCATGACAAGTAATCATTAACATACAAAAAATCACTTCCACACTTGAGGAAGCCAATTAACATCATCCTTCCATTGAACGAGTAATCTTTTCATGATTTGTCTTTTCAACTCTGCACATACAGAGAACAAAATCAATCTTCGTTTGAGCATGAGTTTCCAACACATTGCATGATGATGTGATGATGGAATCATGATCCCACATTAATTCCCACATCCAAGCATGATCATCATTTCTTTCAACAAGAAAACTTGTACAGATACAACTTTGGAATAGATGTGGGAGTAACACAATTCGACAGCGACAGCCATGGCAGCATACATTATTGATGCTGGTTTTAATCAGTGAAGGGCATATTTCTGTATGAGATGATGTAGAACTCCGAAAGAGAAGCATTCCTTTTGGAATCTTGGGATGCTCACTCGTGGTCATTCAGCTTTTCAAAAAAGGACTTCATTGCTTCGTATGTCAACCAGCAAATAGCCGCGGCTGGTGCATGAAACAGCATTCTAGGTTTCCATCCCCTCATCAGCACAGCATAACCGTCGCACCTTAATATTGCCCGTATAACCTCGTTTATAGAGCTGCTTGAATATCTATCACAACCACAAACACCCTGTTTGAAGAACGGAATAATAAAACTTCAGATTACACAAAAGAAAACAGATTATGGGAACATCCAGTCGACTAATTCCACAAGTCATAAAAGTCACTTAAGAGAGCTGAAAAGATAAGTACATAAAACAGTTGACAGATTAAGAATCAACAGAATATGCAAGGGCATGCAGAGAACATATTCAAATGCTAACATCATGACTATTTTTTTTATGAAAGAGAGAGAATACCAAATCAACCATCACAAAGATGACATACAACATTAACCAAAAACCCAAAATAATGGTTCGCCAACTTTCATTCTTCCATGAGTCAAAAGCTTCCCATATATAACTTCTAATGTCTTCTTAACTCTAACAATCAGTAATCAGCATCTAGGTGACACTGATTTACCAAGGTTGTTGTGCTAAGATGGAGGTTGACTTTGAAAGCCAATCTAACAAAGAAATATACTGGTTCAGCCCTAACTAGGTAATAAGAAGCATTTATAGTGCAGGAATGATGTTGCACCACCTATCAGGCAAAGAGTAGCACCAAGTCGCAGGCTGTACCAATTATGAGATTAAAGGTCTAAAACAAATCCAATGCACCAGCCTCCCACCAGAGCATAGTTCGAAAATTCAGACATATGTAGACTTATCCTGTCATTCGGAGAGACAATTTCTATGACTTAGAACCCTTTGACACCCTTCTTTTGCTATGGCATAATCTTCCTGTGCAAGCACCCTCTATCAAGGTACTTTCCCTACCGTGATTGTAGGACTAGCAGTACTGTATCCAAGTGTTCTTATCCTGCACAAGCAATCGGTCTCTGCTTTGTTGAATTTCATCATATTTTTCCTCATCAAATCAGTTTGATACTGTTGTCTCCAATTCCATGAGTTAGATCTCAACCAAGCACACATGAATACATAAAAACTCAAGAACACCAGTCCAAACAAAAAAAAAATCAGATCCTGTATGGCCAGTGACCACAAGCAGAATGTGAAAAATGAGGAGCTTGAGGTGCATTGTTACCATGTTATGATATTAATTGCTATGCAACAACTGACATGGACAAAAGATGGTGGAAGGATCAGTTCGTTGGTCGGTTTAACTGCGAGTCGAAGGTACACGAGGCTGCATCTATTCGTCTGTTGGCTTCCCGTAACTGCATTTGTTTTAGCTGTCGCCTTCCGTACCAATGTACACTTAAGATGTGCACAAGAACACCATGGTTGTGTTTGCTTCCATATTTCAATAATATCAAAGGAAAGCTGCCCTTATGCAGTTGTATCTAAAAAGGTAATCCTAAATATATTTTTATTTCTTTGAAGCAATAAAATAATCTGTGAACTCTCTACATGGTCCTGTAAGAACCCCATCGTGCAAAAAGATATGATCATTTTCTTAAAGTAATAGTATCTACAATCATATACAAATACTCCAAAAGATTATGGAGAGTAATGCACCCTTCTAGTGGTTGTCTCCTCAATAAAGAACTTTAGCCAAAATCAATAATACTAGAATCATTTTGCACCTTTTATCTAACGTGTTATCTAATATAAAGCCCAGTGATCGATATGATCACAAAAGCAGTCTCATTTTATTATGCAAATGGACTGATGCATCAGGTGACACTTTGCAACTTTGTTATTATCAGCCAAGAACATGATATCAGAGACTAAGTGCCACTTCATGGAACAAACACCTAATATATGAGCTGCAAATACTAAGAGCAAAAAAAGATTCCATCTTTAAGCTACCATATATTATAGATTGGCTTGGAAGCTTTACCTGACACTGTAATTGGGTCTTCACCACATCGAGCGGTGTTGTTATAGCTGCTGCTAAGCCACCCGCCGCAGCACCAGCGGTGGCGTGCACCACCAGCCGCTCCTCACTGGCACTCTCCGGTGAGATTTCCATCAGCCCCCTCTTGGCTGTCTCGTACGTTGTGAAGTGCACGGCGGAATAAGGGGCGTTCATCACGACGGTCGTCTTGTAAGAGGCGAAGAACGCCCTGCTCCCCTCCTCCCTCAGAACCCTGGCGACGCAGTCCGCGACACCCTTGTACGGGCTACTTCTGAGCTGGAGACGCTGCTTCACGGTGTCCATAGGCGTGAACACGGCGTCGCTGGCGACGGTGGCGAGCACCCCGGAGGCGGCGTGGGCGATCGGATTGTTGGAGTTCTCCCCGGAGAGCGAGTCCTTGGAGATCTCGTAGACGGAGAAGTACACGGCGTGGGCGGGTCCGGCGCCGAGGCCGCGGTAGAGGCCGAGGAGGCCCTCGGCGCGGAGGACAGAGCGGACGGCGTGGCGGAGACCGAGCGGCGGGTGGCAGGGCGGGGAGCCGGCCTGCATCCGGGTCTTGAGGGTGTCGACGGGGAACTGCCAGAAGTGGAGGCCGCGACGACGCCCGCGACGGATCCGGCCACCATGAACTGCCAGAAGTGGAGGCCGTCGTGCTGCTGCTCGATGCTGAGGTCGCCGGCGGCCGTGGCCGCCGGCGGTAGGAGCTCCAGCGGGCGGAACATGGCGGAGGCATCGGCCATGGAAGAAGATCAAGCTGCGAGGGTTAGGGTTGATCAGAAGGGGCTTAAAAGGGCATCCATCGACCCGGGGTTTGATTCCCACGCAATAATTCAGGAGATTGGGAGAGGGTAAGCGTCACATCGGATCGAAAACAGGAGGAGAAGAGGCATCGCGAGAGCGACAGGGGGGAAAGGTTTTGGATCGACGCGGTCGTGGACAGCACCGTCTTCGCTTCGCCTGATGCGGTGTTCGTTTCCCCCATGCCTGCTTCTGTTTCTGCTCTCCCTCTGTTTTTGTTTTCCCGTTTCCATGTGCACACCTCTTTTCTTTTGTTTTCTCGCTCTACCAATTTGTTTATGCGTTTCCGCCTCCGTGTGAATTTGTTTCTGTTTTCGCCGTCATGTTCGAACAGAAGAACGTAGTCAGCGTTGCGCTGGAAGGAGGTGGTGTTAGTTAATGCTGGGGGCTCGGCCTCACGGTTCTCGATTGAGGACTCATATCTTGTGTGGGACCCCATCACTAATCCATGTTTGGCTTCTCAATTCTCGTCTATCAGTGCCAGGACGAGCTGAAGCCTGCAGCGGGCTTGACAGTGAATCTCTCCTATCGGCAAGAAGGACTTCAAATCCTCCGTGACTCACTTCTAAACCGTAGGATTCGAGAAATGGACGGTTTAGATGTGGGAGTTGAAGAACTTCATTCTTCGTATGCTGTGGGGAGGATCCTGGCTAATTCTCTAATGCTTAAACGCTGGCTCTCACAAATAATATAATAATATAAATTCCTCTCGTAGAAATATTCTTTACATTAAACTGCACATCAAATGTTCTCACACGAATTCGTAATACATTTTCACGACCAAAATATCTCAACATAGAAATATTCTTTCCAAAGATAATACGGCCAAACCAAGCAGCCGTCAATTGGTGAAGAAGACCGACACGAGCGACAGCGGATAAAATCTTGGGCGAAAGCTGTGGCTGCGCTCTTCGTTGCTCGCGTCCTCCACAGGCTCCAACGAGATAAAGAGCACCGCAACCCCGACGCGGTCATCGCTTTCTTCCCTGTGCACAGCACGCGCGGATAGCACTGCCCGGCGACGACGACGCGAGCTTGTGCGGCGGGAGAGGAGCCAGCTGTCGCGTCCCGCCACAGCTTTTTCCCTCGACGTGTTCCCGTCGACTCCTCATCCACCGAAGCCAGACGCAGACAAGAAATGTCGACATTGTTATCGAGTTATCCCCCCCCTGTTCCTCGTCCTCCTCGAGGCCTCGCTTAAGCAGATGACACAATTCTGCATCGGAGTGAGAAGGGTCAGCACCATGTCGATGAGTGATTGAGGTCTTCGTCCTAAGGGTCAGCGAGAGATTGAGAGAGAAACCAGACGTGGGATTAATATATGATGTGACGGTGATCTGTTCCAGAGAAATAATATTGTGAGGCTGATTCAAGTACACTTTTGGGAATCTTGCAGAAGGTTGATCTATTGAGTTCTCGGTGGAATGGTCATTATTTAAGCTACGATTATATGTTGACTACAGCATCGACAGCTTGAGCTGAATCAACGCAGGGCTAATAAGTATCTACCATCGCATTTGAAAGAAAGCTGATGAGATCGGCAGCTCCATCTCAACATCAAGAAGAAGTAGACGTGCTGCTTTACTATTTTACTCAGTTTCTTGGTTTCTATCTCAATCAAACTAAAGCGTATATTGTCATTTGTTTTAGTTTGGATTGTTCTGAGTTCATCCCTAAGCCAAAAACTCTTTGGCTCATGCAGCATCTTTGCATGAGCAACATTCTGACAACAGAGTTTGTGGTATAAAGAAGAACTGCAAGCACATTCTTTACTCCTCAAACACATGCGTGTCGCACGTACACGTTCGGTAGTCATCCCCGTTGCTTAACCATCACACTTAGTATAATGGCAGCACAGAGAAAGCATAAGCTGCCAAATGCCCTACTTCTAGTTTAATCCTGCAGCATCTGAATGCGAAGGATCTGACAACACAATGTAGGCCAAGAGAAGAAGCTCATCACGGAGCTGCAGAGGTTGCTTCTAGGTTTTTCTTCTAGGAAAAGGATGACGGGAAGAGTAAAAGTTGGACATATGATTCAATATTGGCAGCTGCCCTCATCTTTCTCCCATGACAAGCATCATCACCCTATGATTCTGACAAAGGGAATTGTGTTAGGAAGAGCAGCAGGAATCTTCCAGTTTGTGTCTGTAGCGTTTCTGCCTACCTAAACATTGCAATGACGGGGGACACGTACGTGGAAGAATCACTTGATCCATGTGAAGATAAGGATGAGCGGAACACCGACCCACCGTGGAGCGAGCTTGTTAATCTCTGTAGCAAACAAGACAAAAGATGCTACTCCATGTCTCATCTGCTTACGGCCGAGGCACCGTCTAGATTCCATTAACAGAACAGAAACAAAGGTTTCATGTCCATGGATACTCTCTCTTGAGAGCCTCCTGGGGTACATTGCTGGTAGATGGATGGTTCATGAACTGAGCCATGCTGCTGAGCTCGTTGTGCACGACGAAGGACTTGTCGTCGGCGTCCATCTGCGGCTCAGGCAAGGCCGGCTCCTGCTGCATCTGAATGCACAGGATCTCCGCCTGCGCCACCGCGAGTTGCATCTGGAGCTGGGAAACCTGGTTCTGCAGGTAGGAGATGGCCCCGACGCAGCCATACACCGGATCCCTCATCCTTGCGTTCGCTTCGTAAACGAGGCTGCTCACTGCGTCCGCTCTTTGGTGTAGCGGAAGCTCCTGCAGTCGATCATCAAAGGGCATCAGTTGGCTCCACCACATTGAAGAAGAGGAAGAGGAAGAGGAAGAGGAAGAGAAACCTGCAGCATTTTGCTAACGTTGCTTGCGCCAAACACCTTGTGGACCATGGCAAATTTGTGGGGTTCATCGGAAGGGAAGAAAGGAGCAAAGATGCAGTCCTTGGTGCATCGCCTCCGGAGAAGCTTGCAAGAAGCACAAGGCGAGTTGCCACCCATTTGACAGGGCAGCAAAGAAGAAGACTGGTTATATACTTGCAGATATGGAATTTGGCACGGTGAGGTTAGATGGAGATGCCTCTACCTATTTATCATTGAAGCCTAAGCTGATTACTGATTTGAATACCAGAAGAAAACAGTAATAAAATCTTAGGTTTCAGAGAGGGAATCTGACCTTCTTCACTACTGTGGTCAGAAAGATACAGGAAGAACTGTTCCTATAGCTCATCATCAAGAATCCTACTTCCAAGTCACTCACTCAGCCAAAGTTCAATCAACTGCATATAAAACTGTGCTACAGAGCCTCTGCTCATCATCGAGCATGTGATCATGTGACGAACATACTGGTTTACATGCTATACCTGCAGTCAAATATACAGTAACCTCATATTAAGCTACTTGCATGCCGTATGTAGCCATTGTTAATGTGATGCTCGATGGACAGTAACTCTTAAACCAGTGCAGCGTTCAGTCTTATTTTATGATGTTACATAAGGACGCAGATCAAAGTGACTACAGGTACTGATCCCAACTCAGCCTTCAGCAAGAACACATTTATGGTTGCCCATACTTTGTGCGCATGACATGTAGTAGTAAACATGAAGCAAGGAGGGTAAGACAACATCTTCTTGGTCTCGTCGCACATGAAGTATGTTACGAGTTTAACTTGAGAGGTCGAGAAGGAAGAATCTATGAAACACCAGGTGGGAGGGGCGTGCTCATCGACAACATGTTTGATATATACACTCCATTCTTCACAGATTATATATATATATATATAGGCAGTAGATTGTTTTCTATCGTCTCCTCTCACGTACATAGAGAGATGAGAATCTCCATTAATGAGGGAGGGTGTGGAAACGACGCAAAACCCTAACTCTAAAGGAGAGGAGAGAAGGGCTCAACGTGAATGTTTGTTGGCAGACGTTCACGTGTTCACGAGTTCTTGTTCTCTCTCTCTCTCTCTCACTCTCTACCTATCTATCTATATGAATACAGGCGAAAGCTTTCATCCACCACAAGATTTGTACGAACTCGAGCCACTTCCCGTGTATGATAAGTAGAAGAAGAGTAGATGTAGAGCTGATGAGATTGCAGGCATCACTGCTATGGCTTACATGTACACATGCATGTAGCAGCGAAGATTGGAAAACAAGGAGAGAGGAAACTGTTTGACGAAATGCAAGCTAAGGCTACGTAGAACTTTGTCCTCTTTAATGATCTCCGACATCAATTTAAAGCACAGAGATCATAAAAAAGACAACAAGCAACCCATCTCGAGGGGGTGGTGGGAAATAATAAGGCTATTGAAAGTTGAACCACGAGTTGCTAATACCCAAGTTCTACATCCACCACCACTCTTGCATTTAATGCCCTCACATGACAGCCTTCAACCTTACACTTGCTCAACCTGCTGCTTGTCATGGCCTTCGCCCGCCATGAGCACCTGCAGTAAGAAAAGGAGCAGTGTGATCTTGGTGACGGGGAAAACAAAATGATTGTTTTGCTTCCAAAGCATGTCTCTTGTGGGGTAGCTCTAAGCACTAGGGAGGAGAGGCCTCTAACTAAGCAAAAGACAGACACAGACATCTTTCCGTTGCTTGGAGAATTGCAACAATTAATGGTGCACGCTGTTGTAGGGAGATTCCTTTTGGATGAGCCCATTAGCTATACATTGTGTGTTGGTCTTGGTGTTGTGCATCGAGTGCTGTAACTCTTGTTGCTTAACTCACAATGCATCTCAACTTCCCTTACGATGAAGGGATGTTTATATATGTGGATTGTATTCATGAAACTTATAGTATAACAAGTTTGTACTATCAAATTTAATAGAATTCATAT